CTATTCCAGAAAGCCACCAGCCAAATAAGAAGATTTTATACCTTTAAGTTCTTCAGAAGAAGTCTTTTGAAGCCTTTGACATATTTGACCGCTGTGACCTTGAAAGTAGGTCAAAGTCATTTTCATTCTTAAGCTTTGTCGGGCTCTATCCCAAGAAGCCACCAGCCAAATTTGAAGATTCTATACTTTTAAGCTCTTCAGAAGAGGTCGTTTGAAGTGTTTGACACATTTGACCACTGTGACCTTGAAAGTAAGTCAAGGTCATTTTTCGTTCTCAAACTTTGTCGGGCTACTACCAACGAAGCGTTCAGTCAAATATCATGGCTGTTCGTTCTTCAGATGAAGTCATTATAAGGAAAAGTTGACGGACAATGATGGATAACGGTCGGAAGGACGGATGGACGGACGGACGACAGACACCGCACCATGAAATAAGTTCACTTGCCATTTGGGCAGGTGAGCTAAAAATGAAACGCATAAACTTCCCTCCAACAAAACTCCTTTATTTATAAAGAAAGATTGTAATGTTTTGTTTATGTATCATTCAATGAGCTCCTTTGAGAATACACATGGCCGAAATCAGTCAGGCGTGTGGCTTTGTTAACTGTGTTTAGTCAAAATTACGTGACTTGACAAAGCTACGCATTATTTTTTCGCAAATGCTCATATTACACAACACTTTGATGATAACTACATCAGTTTTCCATACAAACATTAGTTTACTATTGAAAAAGATGCCACGTTTAACGCAAGTTCAGAGAGGTAGAGCAATTGCATTGTTATTAGATAGTACTGTCATAGCCAAGCCATTGTTGCACGGCAATTTGGTATCGCCCAGTCGCCTCTTATAACACATTTTCCTGCCGTTGTAATGATGGCTCAATAAGACTGGGCAATTCCCTTGTTGCACCTGATCAACAGAGTTAAGACTGCTACCGAGACTGCATCGCATACCAAAGGCAGTCACCTACCCATGCTCGGAAAAGGATATATTGAATACCAGTTACTGCTACGCCAACGCAAGCATGGTTGAATGTGATAGGTTCGATGGGTTTAATGGTTTGGTGTAAAATTGTAACCTTAAGATTGGACTAAAATAAAGCTACAGGCAAAATATCAGTGTCTTGACTTAAGTCATTCAAAAGAACCTGTTAAAAGATTAAAACACATTTGACTCCTGTGACTTTAAAAGCCAAACATGGACATTAAATTGAACAAACTCTTTAGCCTTCCTCACAGAATGCAACTTGTCAAACATCACCCTAATGGCCCTATACTTTTTGTTTATTGAGGTGACTTTTAAAGATTTATGCACTGTGGGCCAGATGTGACGTTGAAAGTATGTCAAGGTCATTCACATGAACAACCGATCACCCTGGAACCTAAAGTTATTCAAAAGTTGTTTTTAAGTGTTTTAAAGACAAATAACCCCTGTGACCTTGAATATGAGTGAAGGTCATTCATTTGAACAAACACTGTAGCCCTTTATCCCAGCATGCTACTGGCCAAATATCATCAGTCTTGGCCTCTTGGTTATTTAGAGGAAGTTGTGACCCTTGCGACTTTGACAATAGGCAAAGGTCATTCATTTGAACAAAATTGGTAGCTCTTCATCCCAGCATGCTACTAGCCAAATAATATCATCCTGGGTCTGAAGTTGTTAAAAGTTTTCAACATATATGACCCCTGTGACCTTGAATATGGGTCAAAATTGGTATAGTGTAATGTATTCTGATAAACACCAGCATGTCTTCTTGTTATCAGCTATAACTCTTCGTTATACATAAGAAAATCCATGTCTTAAACTTTGTAATAATGTGTACTAATTGTTGGTTACCTTCGGTAACGAGGAAGAGTTGGTTGATGACAATATCTCGCTTCATTCCGCAGAGGATGAAGCAGACGGCTGTGACGATTTTTACGTCTCAAATCATAATAGACAATGTCCCGGAACCGGAAGCACATGTACTTGGTGATGCGCTAAGTGGTGAGGCCCCTTACGCTAATGTAGGTAATTGGGGCACCGGCATGAACGAGTGGCTTCGGCGGCTTTAGGAGCCCCAACGCAAGCAGGAGAAGCAAAAAAGGTACGAACAGACGAAATGGCTTCCAGGTTAATGGAGCTAGAGGCTCTTATTGCCTGCCTTTCCCGTGAACAAGGTTCTGGGGATAACTTGGTACAGAACGTACCGGGTACCACGTGTTAGGATACCAATTTTAGACATGGACCTGATGGGTTCGAGTTTGATATACGGAGATGAGGACTCTGTTTGTGACGAATGTGTCCAGAGTACTGTACCCAGCAGCGGGGCTGCATTCAATGTGGACATGGACGACATATACTCCGGAGCAGAAATATGGACCAGGGACCCACAAAGGGTTGGCCCGATTAGTTAACACATCGTGCACTAAAAATGCGGACGTAGGTAAGATTATAGAGAAATATTTGACACCGCAGAATTGTCTGGGTGTTACTGTACCACGTTGAAACCCTGAAATATGGGCAATTACCAAAGCCATTAATACAGCAGAAAGACGTACAACTGCAGGGATACAGAAATCTCTACGCTCGGGCTTAGTACCGGTATTGAAACTTACAGAGGCGTTAATGGGCTTGCCCCAATTTAGAGATACGCTTCGCCCACTTTGTGTGGATGCTTTGGCTTTGGTTGGTAATGCTTTTCAGACCATCTCAGTGAAGAGAAGGGATTTCATGAGACCGGCACTGCCGGCGGCTTATCAAGCCATTTGTGCTAAGGACATGTCAATTTCAGTGCAATTGTTCGGAGACGAGCTGGGGAAAAACGTTAAAGAATTAAATGAAACGGCGAAGGCGTTTAGCGGAATGAACCAGCATGCACAGAACAGGGGCAGAGGTGCCTGGGGTGGTAACCACCAGAACGGACAGAGGGGCCGTGGACTCGGACAGTCACGTCCTTTTTTACGGCATGGCTACCAGGCCCCGAGGGGCCGAGGGTACGGGTACAAGAAACCCCAATACCAAGCAAGTGGAAACCACCATCAGAGCGGTCCACGGAAACAGAAGGACTAGATAGCAAGGTAGGTAAATCTTTAGGTCTGTTGAAATCGAAATTGTCGTATTGGCAGAGTATCACTGATGATAAATGGATACTAGAAACAGTCCAAGGGCTGAAACTAGAGTTTGAGGAAATTCCAGTACAGACATGGAATCCAAGTCCCATAGCTTTTGATAACAATGAGATGGAATTGATAGATTATGAAGTAGAGGAGCTATTGAGAAAAGGGGCAGTGAGAAAATCACCGAGCGAACAAGGGGAATTTGTGTCCAACTTGTTCTTAGTACAGAAAAAGAATGGTAAATTTAGACCAGTAATAAATTTAAGGAAATTAAATGAGTGTATTGTGTATCACCATTTTAAACAGGAAACACTAGAGGTGGTACTTGAGTCAGTGGAAAGAGGCGATTTCTTCACGTCGATAAGACTTAAAGGATGCATATTTAAGCATACCGGTTGATGAGTAAGATAGGAAATACCTTAAATTTAGATGGAGAGGTTGTCTCTATGAGTTTATCTCTTTACCTTTTGGCCTTACTAGCGCCCCTCGGGTCTTCACTAAGGTTTTGAAACTATATTTGCTAAAGTACGGAGCCTGGGGGTAGTAGCATTTTATTACATTGATGACTCTTTGGTCAAGGATAGAGATAAAGAGGTTTCAAAAGCAATTGTGAGATGTTGGCTAGCAACTTCGTACAGGCAGGTTTCGAAATTAATCACGAGAAGTCTATGATGGTGGCGAACAATGTTATGGTTCATCTTGGTTATCTGATCGATTCGATTGCTTTCACAGTATCTCTTCCTAAGGAAAAGATAGAAAAGATAAGTAAATACTGCAAGACGGTATTAGACAAAAGACAAGTCATGTCCTTGGAATGATGATATTCTCAATCAACCAGACCCTAGGCCAGTTTCATGTGTTAGTACTGGGATTGCTTTGGAGATACTCCAAACATAATCACAAGTATAACAAGAGGCCTAGGGGGCCTGTATCGCTCACCTGGTTATTTAAGCAATCATGGCGCAATATTTACATTTGATCTGTAATGCCAATTTGTTACCACTTCAGACATGTAGGCATTTTTGTAACTAGAGAAGAAGATTTTTGAAATTTTCCCAAATTTGTCCCCTTTTTGTCCCCTAACTCAGCCCCCTAGGGGGTCAGACTCATAAATATTATACCAGCAGACCTCCCTCCCGTAACAAGTATTTATGCCAAATTTGAACAAATTATTTTCAAAACATTGGAAGATATGCCCTGTCATGTCTATTTCCTATATAAACTATATTTATAATTTCATCCCCTCCTCAGGGGCAAACGGGGGCCCTGGGAGACATAAAAATCACAATTTCTTTAAATCACCCAAATGCCATTACAGCTATGGGTAGTATTTGATCCTAGCATTTTTATAACTAAAGAACAAGATTTTTGAAATTCTCTGTGGCTAGACATACATGTAGCTCCTAAAGGTGGAGCTAATCACAACCAGCTAACCCCTGCAGGCCTGATATCACCCCCTTATGTCCAATCAATTATCTGGATCACTGCACACAAGTGTAATTTCCTGTTTATGCATATATATAGTGTATTTTCCTGTTTACACATATAGTAACAAAGCAACTGTTCACAAATGTCACAACAGACTTTTAAAATTAATTCTTCAGGTAAAGGGTACCACTGCATCAGTTATAATCACAAAGAAATTTAGGTTTTTGAGTTGAAGTACTGTATACTGAGAAATTATCACCACAGTTTGACTTTCACCTTTTTAACCCTCCCCCATTTAAGTACACAACATATAATACATAGTAATTACATGTGAGGGAAAAATTAACCTAGGCAAAAATGGGTTATATCAGAAAAGGCTGATTATTTGACGGGTCGAAAGTTTCCTGGAAACAATACTTAACCCTTCTATATAAAAGATGAAGCAATCAAAAGGCGTTTTTCTGACTTAAGAGTAACTTCCTTTGTCAAGTTTTTTATAGGCTTTGCAGCCCATAAATTGGACACTCATTTTCCTAAGACTTCTGACCACTAAGTAAATCCTAAGACTTCTGACCACTAGGTATACCCTAAGACTATACACTAAGACTTGTTACCACTAGGCATACACTAAGACATCTGACCACTAAGTAAATCCTAAGACTTCTGACCACTAGGTAACCCTAAGACTTCTGACCACTAGGTATGCACTAAGACTTCTGACCACTAGGCATACACTAAGACTTCTGACCACTAAGTAAATCGTAAAACTTCTGACCACTAGGTATACCCTAAGACTCTGACCACTAGGTATGAAATAAGACTTCTGACCACTAGTTGTACCCTTAGACTTAAGCTTCTGATCAATAGATATAGGTATACCCTAAGATGCTGACCACTAGGTATTCACTAAGACTTCTGACCACTAGTTGTACCCTTAGACTTAAGCTTCTGATCAATAGATATAGGTATACCCTAAGATGCTGACCACTAGGTATTCACTAAGACTTCTGACCACTAGTTGTACCCTTAGACTTAAGCTTCTGATCAATAGATATAGGTATACCCTAAGATGCTGACCACTAGGTATTCACTAAGACTTCTGACCACTAGTTGTACCCTTAGACTTAAGCTTCTGATCAATAGATATAGGTATACCCTAAGATGCTGACCACTAGGTATTCACTAAGACTTCTGACCACTAGGTATACAATAAGACTTCTGACCACTAGTTGTACCCTTACGTCTTCTGACCACTAGGTATACACGAAGCTTCTGACCACTAGGTATAACCTCTTTACCGGCTTCCTTAACCTGACTTTTGAAGGACTATGATAACATTAATAATTCCAGTATCAAATCTTTCCCATGGGAAACTTTGACCCCTGGGTATGATTTTATCATAATTACTCCATGTCCTGACTGGAACAAACATCACCACCTTCCTTCTACTCTACATTTTAAAGGAGATAGCAAAGCTCCTTAAAATTTCATTAATTTTATTCTATTTGCATTGTATCCTTCCCTCTACCCTTTCCACAGTCCCTACATTTTTGTCCCTCCAACAAGGGGCATAGCCCCCACATTTGTGTTCCTCCAATAAGGGACAAACCCCTTCATTGTATCCCTCCAACAAGGGACACATCCCCTATATTTTTGTCCCTTCAACAAGGGGCATAGCCCCCACATTTGTGTCCCTCCAACAAGGGACACCGCGGCCCTTCATGGAAGTCCTTAAAAGCCCCTACACTAGAGTCCCTCCAAAAGTGCCACAACTCGGTACTGAATTATCTTACTTATTGTTAGCATGTTAATAAGATTAAATTCACAAGGTACATGCCACAAGTGAAACATACAGAAGAAGAAGGTCATATACCGTACTATAGTAAATGAGTTCAGGCAAGATATGTGCAAGAACGCCTCCTACTGACAACCTGGCAACTTAGCCATCCTGATTCTGGAGTTAACTTCATAAAAACTTCATCTCAAAAGTGGAACCTTACTGGTTTGAGCATTTATTTTTTCTCTCAATGGGTAACAATTTTCAGTAACCTTGGCCTTCAATAGCTAACCTTTACTATGGAAACATTTCTCTACCCAAGAAGTACTCTGCAATCTGACAATAAACATTAGCTGTGTATGTAGGAGTGATCCTAAAGTGGTATATCCATTTGCTCTGAGATGTTCAGCAGGTAATGTTGCCAATATATTCCATGTGATCTCCTCCCACTCAGGGGTCAAAACTCTGTCATCTCTGTAAATACAGCATCATACTTCCTCAGTTGTTAAATATTTTTGTACATATAAACAAATCTGTCCCTGTGCAACATATTGACGGGGAGGGGTGGGAGATGGAGGTGAGCATGACATATGGGCTGTTCTCATGCTCAAGCATGGATTTTGTGCAAGCCAAAATTCTTTTCTTCTATAAATTAACAAATAAATTATTGAAGAGTCTCAAAGCTGAAAACTGTTTTCAATGTTTATATTTGAATTTTTAAATCGTTTGACATGATTTAAGCTAGTTACAAGAAAGTTGGTTTGAGCACAGAATCTATGCTTGAGCATGAGAACACTTTCATAAATACTGGCCCTGGAGAACAAGGAAATCTAAGAAACTGTTTATCAATCATATAACGTAATCAAACATTAAAATCAATTTTATTGATGAGAGTAAAAGGATCATGTTGACAATCAAAATGTTGCCTTTATTTACATTTCAGACTTAAGCTTATCAGCAAATCTCAATCATATGTCTCTTTCCAGTAAGGACAATAGAGAAAACTGCTGCAGGGGTCAAAGTTCAACATAGGCAAGAACAGGTACGGAATTATGAACAAGTGATACAGATATTCTATACTATAGACAATGACTGCCATCATTGATTGGTGCAATCTCTTGTTACAGCTATTTTATACAATAGACAATGACCGCCATCATTGATTGGTGCAATCTCTTGTTACAGCTATTTTATACTATAGACAATGACTGCCATCATTGATTGGTGCAATCTCTTCTTACAGCTATTTTATACTATAGACAATGACTGCCATCATTGACTGGTGCAATATCTTGTTACAGCTATTATATACTATAGACAATGACTGCCATCATTAATTGGTGCAATCTCTTGTTACAGCTATTTTATACTGTAGACAATGACTGCCATCATTAATTGGTGCAATCTCTTGTTACAGCTATTTTATACTATAGACAATGACTGCCATCATTGATTGGTGCAATCTCTTATTATCTTGCAGTGTTCTATTTAGTGCAGTAGAATTAATTTCGATAGAAAATCAGCAACATTTCATTAGCACCTTACAACACATTATCACCTCTGATTTACAGCGATAAATTCTCTCCCAGCAGGGCTGTTCCTGCAGTGGGCCATACCTCATCAATCGCTGAGGTAAGAGTCCTGACAGAGGTGCCTCACGCATTGCCGTGCCGTCACCTCACCAATTTGTTTCCTGTCTCTCGATTGGCTGACAAAGAATGATAAATTTGAACCTGCCTGAAAGGTTAATGCAAACATTATAAACACAGTGTGTGGACACATTAATTTTCTGTGTTGGCTCAGGTACGTCTGCCGCCCCATCCTAAACACCCCATTATGTGACAATTAACATACTTCATCCCCCCAAAAAAACACTTCAGTCACGTTTTACTTTACTATCAAACACACACATGAGGCTACCATAGCAACTTCCGTCCCCCACCAGGTTCAATTACATTCAAATCTGTGGCAGTTGCAAATCAAAGTCTTGAAGAAGTCGAACTCACTGCACGATGGCCATATTCATGGACAAATTGAATATGATTACGTTTTAACAACAAACCAAAGTCATGGTCACAGCTCTACTCATGAATTCATTGGTGTTATGCAACATTCTACAAGGAAGGCCATTCCTCAAGAAGATTTGCTTGAACGTAAGTTAATTGTCACTTTTGAGTATTGGCAAGGAAATATGATCCAAACCTTGGAAACATGACAATGAATGAAGCAATATGATTTTAATGGTGGAATTTTATAAGCATTTTGTTGGTAACTCCTTTAATACTGAGTGTCTGTGGAAGTATAATCAATATTTCATCCTTTTGTGTATATCCTCATAAGTTTTTTTATGATATTCGAGAAGTTTTGACGGAATATACTGGAGTTTTAATAATAAGTATTCCGGTCCGAGAACATTTATCTTGTCCCGGCCTGAATTAATTGCCAATGAGAGGCTCATTAGAATACCATTTAACGAGATCTTAATCTGAAGCTCCAGTATCAACAGTAACATTCTCACGAAAATCTCTCTACTTAAACAATCTTATTTTCTACTTTTTTTCATCTTTCCAAGATGCAAACTATTTTTAAACAAGAAGATATATATCTACATTTGCAATATTTCTAAGTTTTAATGTTATTTGACACTCCTTTCCATGTAGAAATTATAGCATTGGAGAATTGTGTAAAAAATGACACGGTCCTGGCATGACCAAAGTGATTCTAATGGTTCAGGAGACCATTACTGTACAGAGATTATCCGAAGGGTTGTGGGAGTTGGGGACACATCATTATCTGAAGGGTTGTGGGGGTTGGGGACACGTTATTATCTGAAGGGTTGTGGGGGTTGGGGATACTAACATTATCTGAAAGGTTGTGGGGTTTGGGGAAACAACATTATCCGAAGAGTTGTGGGGTTGGGGAAACAACATTATCTAAGGGGTTGTAGGGTTAAGGGACACAAAAAGATCCAAAGGGTTGTGGGGGTGAGGGACATAAAATGATCTGAAGGGTTTAAGGGTTTTGGGCTTCAAAACATGATCCTTCTGTGTACTAATGGAATTGTTTTTTTATAAAAACACAGATCACTACTTCAAGCTACTGACAAAAGGCTTTTTTCCCAAACGGTTGGCGGAATGGCTTAAGTGTTATGGTAATCCTTTGATCATCGTGGGATTATCATGTGAGATTCTATGAGGTACATAACCAGCATCATTATTCAGGCTGATGTGGCGGCATGCATGGGGAACATCATTGGGAAAGCTTAGGATGGACAGGGGCAACATCTGAACTTAATTAAGAAGTGTATTAATTGAAAACAATAGACAGCTTTTTCATATTTATGGATTGATAGCATTTCACGGCCCCAAAAGATGTTGGAATATTTGTAGCCTATTCCAGCTACCTTAATACATTGTGTCATAATAAGTACACACTATTACAGATGGTGTAGTATATAAACCATATAACATTTTAAATGGTGCTGTTGTATAAATCAGTTATGTACACTGAGCACAGCCTTGTGTTACTAATTGACAATGACTAGCCAGTGGTAAGAGTAAGGTATCCCTCTAGGGTTTGAACATTTCAATTTTCGTTTGTAATGAAGTTGTACCTACTGTGTACATGGCAGCTAATTAAATGGTTTAAAACAAAGTATGGACGTTCGTCTTGAAACAGCATTCTGAATATCTTAAAACAAATCACACATTTTTTTCCTACATAATAGTAAGGGCTTCTGTGTCAGATTTATTACCGATACTCTTAAAAAGGTACGTAATCAGAAAATCTATATTCATACATTTGTTTGAAAATAAATCATATTTTCCTTTGCTTTCTTAAATAACATTTTGCACAAAGAAGAAACAGACTGTTCCTGGTATATTTCTACAGTGAGATTTGTGGAGAAAGGATTTCATAAATTAGCTTATTACACTGACAGTCATAAACACATATTGATATAATACTTTATTCTCAAACCTTAGTAGGATAATTAGTAAGGTCAGAAACAATACAACTAAAACAACAATATTTACCACTGTACAAAGGGTCATTATATTGTCAGTAATTTAAAGCTTTTCAATTTTAATGAAAATTTGTAAGAGCTTTATATCATTGTGTGAAGTTAATTATAAAACATATGTTCAAATTATTATCAGTTCACATGCTGAAGTAATAAAAGATTAAACCTGTGAGGGTAGTTGTGAACGTTGACATGCCTAATTACAATAATAAAGTATAAATATGATGTTAGCCTCACCCGTCCTACAGATGCTCTGTACTTACCGTTTCTCACGGCCAGGTATTACACATAAAAGCTTGTTAAAGAATTACCTCCAGGAACTGAAGATCTCTAAATCTGGTAAAGTATTGCTTATCTTTTATTGAGTACCAACTTTATATCAACTTATTGATGTTTGTGAATCAGTTCCTAGATTAACTTTGATACATGATTGGAATAAGAAACTGCCTACATCTTTGAGCAAAACCACAGAAGGCCTGATGACGTCACAAATGTTGCTGTGTGACGTCATTCAGGTGTTTCAGTCAAATCTTCTTCTGTACTGGTGCTCATCAGCATTTTGATACATGTGTATTTGGACAAATTATTAACTGAAACCCTTACTGATAGGACGTCAAACAATACTAAACCAAACCCAACAAAACCATACTGTAGCACAGGTTTTAAGACTGGGTCGCCATACTGTAGCACAGGTATATAAATTTAACATGGGGATGTACTACTATAGCACAGCTTTAAGATGGGGTTGTTATATTGTAGCACAGGTTTTAAGACTGGGTCGCCATACTGTACGTAGCACAGGTTTTAAGACTGGGTTGCCATACTGTACGTAGCACAGGTTTTAAGACTGGGTTGCCATACTGTACGTAGCACAGGTTTTAAGACTGGGTTGTCATACTGTTTTAAGACTGGGTTGTCATACTGTACTACGTAGCACAGGTTTTAAGACTGGGTTGCCATTCTGTACGTAGCATAGGTTTTTAGACTGGGTTGCCATACTGTAGCACAGAGTCTAATTTGTCTAATATTATCAACATCTTAATGTAAGTGCCATCAGTCTCTGTCAGGAAACATCATGAACAACTTCCGACTAATGAGGAGTGTTGTACAAGGGACATTCACTCTGGGATTAACTCTCAGTGAAGACTGAATCAGATATCATTAGGCGTCAAGTTAATTGTTCTCTGTCCTGGTTGTTAGGGTTGCCGAGATACGTTTATGTTACAAGTGAATCAGACCTGTCTGTTCTAGCTGTGAATCTATTAACATATTGCCATTACAGAGTAGAATTTTCCGCTTATCCTGTAGCTGATGAAAATCAAAAACTTAACAATAAAATCTTAATTTATCTATGCATATATATATATACATGCCATAACTTTTCGGTGCAAAATAGTGTGATCAGTGATATTTTTTAGTGAGATTTGGTCAAAATTAGTGAGATTTTTTCTCTGAATTAGTGAGAAATTCACGAGACATTTAAAACATAAATTATACTGCATATAACATTGTATTATTGTATTTGTGTTATTCTGAAGCCTCCAATTACTTTGTTAGAACCAAACTTGAAGATTTATTGATATTTAAAAGGATTTTATGGAGGTTTACACGTGACATACGGTATAGTAAATATATCACAACATTTCCATCAAAGGCAAAAAAAATGAATAATGAAAAGAGGTAAAACTTATAGAGGGATGTCCTTGTTACCCAGGTTAGAAGAAAAAATATCTCAAAACATTGGGAATATTTAATATTCATTTGCTGAAAAAAAGTAAACCAATAACTTACTACTTCCACTATTTTCATATATAACTATATATTCATATAATTGTAAAGAAACTTGTTTTCTTGCATTTAAGTTTTTTTCATTAACACTCAATCCCATTCTGACGGCAAGAGAATAAACTCTGGATTCAATGTCAGTGTCCGGTTTCGATGTTATTGTCCTGACTTACATTTCTGTTTGGGTACACCATGCATGTTTTCGGTTGTAATGAGTGTAAAAACAATGGTTGGGCTAGGATGTGAACCCTTGACCTCCAATGAGTATACTGTCATTCTAAGCTACGTGATGAATGTATGCACAAACAAGAGGCCCAAGGGCCTTAGCGGTCACCTGAGTTATATCATAGGTACTGGTAGCTTTATTTTATTGTTTAGATGTGATGTGGAAATCAGCATGTAAACTAAGTGAAATACAATACTTGTCATGTCATCAAAGGATAAGAATTTGAAAATATTGGTAAATGTTCCCTTTAGGGCCCCGCCCTAGCCCCTGGGGATGGGGCAGGAATCCCAATTTTACAAAGTAATACTCTCATTCACAAAAGATCATTCTGACTATGTTTGAGTAATTTTCTGCTGAAAATGGATAAAATATATACCCCGAAGTATTATTTCCCTAAAGAAACTAAGGTAAACTTTACCCGCTTCCCAAGGGAGAACGGATAGCTCGGGGGTCCTGAAATTTACAATTTAAGTAAAGCCCCTGATGATCTTATTTTTCATGTAGAGAAAATGACTGTAGTACCTCTAAGTCTGGAGAAGAAGATTTTTGAAATATTGGTTAATTTTCCCTTTGGGGCCCCGCCCTGGCCCCAGGGGTTGGGGTAGGAATCTCAATTTTACAATTTGAAACCATCTTCCTCCAAGGATAATTCTCATCTAGTAAAAATAAATTCCTACAGAAAGTTGTCAAAATATACCCAAAAGTGTTGTTTCCCTATATAAACTATAGTAAATTTTACCCCCTCCCCAAGAAAGAACAGATAGGTATGGGGTCCTGAAATTTACAATTTAAGTAAAGCCCCTGATGATCTTATTTTTCATGCAGAGAAAATGACTGTAGTAAGCCTGGAGAAGAAGATTTTTGAAATATTGGTTAATTTTCCCTTTGGGGCCCCCCCCAAGCCCCAGGGGTTGGGGTAGGAATCTCAATTTTACAATTTTGTAGCCTCATCTACCAAGGATGATTCTGACCAAGTTTGAAAATAATCCATCCTTTGGTTCTTGAGAAGAAGTTGAAAATGTAAAAAGTTTACGCACGACGGACGACGACAAACGGAAAAACTAAGGAGAGGTGTATGTATGTACACAAACTAAGGGGAGGTGTATGTATGTTCACAAAAT